AGGGGAATCGGGCGAATCGGCCTAAGGCTGGCCCTGATTATAGTCAGGGAATCTAGACTCTAATTCTAGTTCTGATACAAACTTTGCAAAACCTTCAGTAACTGAGCCTTGTTCTTCCCTCCCCATACAATGGGGAGATACACAGCTATAGAAATAAGTGTAAAGCCATATGAAATCATTAAGTGGAAGGCATTATGTACTTGCAAAGTATTTCAACAACTTAGAAAGATAGCTAATCACTATATCTTCGGTGTGAGCTATCTAGGGAGAAACAAAACAGCTAACAAAAAGATGTATAACAGCAAATTTAAAAGCAACTGAACACTTCACAGAAAGTGACAGAGGCTACATTTAAAATTGGACTGCAAACAGCAATAGAGCTATTGTAAAGACACATGCTCATCATTCACATCCGCCCTAGTCCCCTTGGATAGGCACTTGCATACAATATGATCACAAGAACAGCAGATACCATTAGCAAGGAAGGGAGCAATGTGTAAGTCCAAAAGCCTTAATTTTTTTTTTTTAACCTTACTAGCCCTGTAAGATTAGTTATTCCTAGGAAATGTAGAAACATTCACCGAGATGGTGTATATCTACATACACTTATAGCATAGTAATTAATATAGCCTTGATAGAAAGAGGAACTAGATCATTAGTAATACATTTTCCATAACTAACTTAAATATTTGTCTTGCTGTTTTCAAATACATCCTGTGAAATTTTATAAGTTTAATTTTGTTGATAAAAAAGCTCTTGGCTTAAGGAAAAAAATTATGATGTAACAAGATATTAATATAAATTCCATAACATTTTATCCTTGTTCTATAAACTAGCTTAGTTGGTAGGATCATGGCAAATTAGGTCAGGCTGTACCCAGTTAAAGGATTAAAAATAAAGTAGTTTGGAACAGCACAGAAATTGATGTGGCTGGTTGGGGGTGACAAAGTGGGCATTTTTTGCAATATTTTTATGAAGCCTGTCTGTGCTTCAGTTTCTTCTATATGCTGCATTGTATATACTGATGAAAAGAGTCTGCTGTCAGGGCAGATTAAGACACATAGAAATGGTGCCTCTCTGTCGGGGCTGAGGTCCCATATCAATGAAGCTCTTTGGAAGAATATGGCCAATCCAGTTCTCTAGAGACAGGTATGGACCAATGACCCACAGAGCAACCACAGACCCAGAGTGACATGGACTTCTTTATTTCTCATCAAGGCAACAGCTGCAGCTCCATAGCTCAAGCTCAAAAGACTATGTGAGGTGGAAGTTAAGTGCTAGCTGTGGAAAGCAGTCAGGTATGTTGAGACTCTGAGGCCTTACACTACAGAGTGGATTGAGGCAATGATCAGTCCACTGGCTGTTGATTTATTGTGTCTGCTTAGACATGATAAATCAAACTCCAAGTGTGTGCCTAGTGATGCTGGTACTCCACCAAGATGAAAAGAGCAGCCCCTGCCAACCTTACTGCACACAAGATACTGTGGTGAGTATGTTGACTTCAGCTATGCTATTTGTAAAATGGAAGTAGTTCAATGGAGCTGTTTAGTGTAGACAAGGCCTGACAAAGGAGATCAGATGGGAAGACAGAACTTGAAAAATGGCCCAACAAGGTTGCAGGGAGTCCTTTGGCTACCTGTAATGGACTTGCACTTCTTTGTGTTGTGTTCTAATCAACTAATAAACCTTACTCTTTGATAACACTGTCAGTGTCACTGCAAATGTCTGTGGAGGAGCACTGCTCCCTAAGATTACACAAGTCTCCCTAAGAAATCTGTCTCCTGGGACATGGTGATTAGTGCTGAGGGAGTACTTCATATCACTGAATGGTGGCTTGATTCTTCTTTAGAGACAAGAAGTTTGGATAGAATACAGGAAGGTCAACCTTTTGGCTAACGTGATATGCCTTGTCCCTATGTGGTGAGTTGGTTATGAAAGCCTCTAGCTCTCCGATTGTTGCTGATGTAATGGTGACCAGGAATGTTTTAAAGGAGAGGTGGAAAGGACAGGTGGCCATCTGTGCATAAGGGGCATCAATAACCAGGAGGCGGCCCCGCACTGGAGCTGAGTTCTAAACAGGAAAATACAAAATGTATAGACTTTTGAGGAACTTGTGACAGGGTAGGAAAACAAAAACCAATGGATGGGTGACCGGAAAGCTGTGATAGCCAATTGTATCCTAACAGCTCATTGATAGACCTGACCTTTCACTTTTAATTCCAGTTGGTAGTCCAGTATCTTAGAAGGCAAAAGAGCACCAAGCATGAAAATAGTTCCTGGGCTTTCTCCCAGACAAAAACACTGATTGAATTGCAACTTAATGGGTTAATTCCATGGGGGAAGGATGGAGGGAGAAGGAGGAGGAGGATGCACATTGGGAAGCCACACCCTAAGGTTCAGAGAGAAAGAATTGGTGTGGATGAGACCTGTGTCAATAGGAAGATCAGAAAGCTGCACCCCTTAAGTTTGAATAGTGCACCCATCTTGGCCTAACTGGCACTAGAATAGCTTTCACCCTCTCCCAGTGTAGCCCGAGAAGAACCTGGAGTATTAATGGAATCTATAGATATTCCTAAAGCCGGGCATGAAGCCATGGAGCTATCAGCATTCTCCCAGAGAACTGAGACCTTAACTTCCTCTGGAGCAAAACAGGAGGCCTTTGGAGTTATTTGGGTTGGCAAAAAAATCTACTTATAGTAGACTCTTGGATGTTGCAAAAAGATAGTCTTTGCACTCCCATTCACGGATGTGCCAGAAATGTCTGCTCAGACAGTCCTGCACTTATATTCTGAAATTCTGGCAAGACTGCTGCTATGTTGATTGGAAGGGAAATATGCCAGTTCCAGACTCTAGTGACTTTGCAGATTAAGGATTGGGATCTTGTCTCCATCTTGGCGGCTGAAGAAATGGACTACTGTCTAGAATTACTCTGGCCATGAATGTCACAGAGGAATCACTGGCAAGTGTAACAAACTGTTCTCCGCTCGAGAATATAGATGTTCTTCAATTTTCCTTATATACCACATAAAGATATTGCCTACTTCAAAGTGCTATTGGATGATTTAATTCCTCAATCTGTCTAAAACATCTGTAAAGATCCTGGAATGGAACATGTCCTAATTCTAAGTACAAATGTCACTACTATAAAGAAGAGGCACTACCAGCTTTGCTGCTCTGCAGTTCTTTAATTTAAAGGAGAAATTTTAAAGTTACTATATTTTCCTGAAATATGTGCTCTTAATTTCCCTTAATAATGAAAGAAAATTGTGTTAATTACTAAGTAAGTGTCTGTTTGGTGTAGGCCACCTCTTCACAGTATGTACTTAATTCAGTACTTGTGAAAATGAAATTTTTTACTATTCTCATTTCACTGCTCTATTCAAATTAGTTAGGCAAGCGACAGCTACCGTCAGATACCTTGGACAAACTGGTCATGGGAAGAGAAATACAGGAAGTAGGTTTGACAGGGTATTGATAAACATATTTTTAACTTAAAACCCCCCATTAATGCTAGAACATGAAATAACTGCTATAACATTTGTGTGGAAACAAAAATAGAAGCATGGAGTCTTTCCCTGCAATAAATCCCTTTAAGTATCAGGGTCTGGAGAAATTAAGCATTTTTAATTACATTAATGAAATAAAATCTTAAACTGTCAGAAAAAGAAAGGATACACCTATTGAAAGACAGAAACCTGCTGCTTTGAATGCTAGTTCAAATTCACATTTCTATAACATTTTCATTTTTTCAGATTTACATCAATTCAATCTTCAGTTCCTAGAGTTGCCCTGCATCACAACAGCAATTTTCTAATGTACCTATTTATTCTTTAGTGGTTCTTGTTGGTAGCTCAGCTACATGAGGGACCCAAATTCTTCTATTAAAAGTAGTGCAATTTTGGCTAACTGGAATGGAGTTGCAATTGATGTAAAAAAAATGCAGACTTTGATCCAGTCTTCTCTGTTGACATATCTCCCACTATCATACAAAAACTAAATATTTCATTTGGAGGATAAGAAAAAATAATCCCACGAAAAACCCTCTAGCACAACTAAAAAGTAAAACATTATTAGTTGCATCATAACTGATTATACAGTTATTTTAATAACAGTCAATCACTGTATCATCTTTACCCTATTAATTTAAGGCAATTAAATGTACTTTAGAATTTTTTTTAGGAGAAGAAAGAAATTGTAATTGAAGCTGGAAATGAAATGCGTACTAGAGTATCTTGTCCATCTCCTTACTCTTATTGGGTTGTTCCCTATTAAACATTTAATAGCCTTGTTCTAAAAATGACAAAAATATTTAGGACTGAAAACTTTAAACATCTACTGAAATAGGTGTTTCAGGAGTCTACCAAATGATAGACCCCTTTCTTTGGAAGCAGACTAAAAAAAAAAAAAAAAAAAAAAAAAAAAGCTAGATATAGTATGAGTGGTAAACAGAAGGAAAACAAGAAAAGCCATCTTTTCTTTTATCTTTTTTCAGTCTGCAAGAAACAGGTTCCTAATTAATATTCAAGTATTGAATGGCTGCTTTACCCATCTTTTCAGTTTCCTAGATGTATATTAACCAAAGGTGAAATACAAGCAGTCAAAGTTGTTCATTCCCTTATAGTACAGAATGCTCATCCATAACAACATTTGAAATGGTGATTTACTTTTTAGCTGTTTTAGGGAAGTAGTGGTAGTATTTAGACATAAGCTAAATATTTGCACAAGATGTAAACTTATCCAAGAGCAATACATGAAATTATTTATTCCCAACAGTTAAGATTTACTTCTGCAAATATTAAGCACGGAAGCCAAATTTTAGAAAATGTGACCCATGTTATTTTCCTTATAAAATGAATATTATTTTTATTTATTATTTATAGTTAATATCAAATTAACAGTAACAGCTCTGCACATTTTTACAACACTTTATGAAGTTTGATTTTCTTATTGTTTAGATATCAGTAAATTTACAAGATCATTTAAATAAAAAATATAAAGCCTATGTTTTAAACACGGCTTTTATTAATGCTCTCTAGTGAACTCCATTTTATCTTACATTTTATCTTTTATCTTGAATCTGCTTTGCTTAAGAAAAGACGGAAAAGTGCATTTTACAAGAGTACTTTTTCTTTAATTCTCTGCGAAAATGGAAGGAATTGGAATCACAAGTTGACAAATGTGGTAAAATGAAGTTTCAAGAAACATCAATTTTAGTAATGCTACCCCCATCACTAGTGTTTCGCTCTGACTTTCTGCTTTGTGAACCATAATATCCTGATATACAGTCTAGAGCATCTATGTTATTATTCTACAGCATTTTAAACACAGAGAGGTTAAAACCCCTTTCAATGTACAAACATGAATAAAAAATTGATAAAAAAATCACTTTTATACATAATGTATATGCAAACTGTTTTAAATACATGGTTTTGGAAGAGTTATTTACAAACTGCATCAGTCTGTGGGACAATCCACAGACAAAGTATACACAGTTGCTTACTTTATTGTTGCATCTCAACTTTGGGAGATATAAATTCATTCGGCAGTATAGCAAACATAAAAACTGAGACAAAGCATCTTAAGGGCAACCCAATAAAATTTGTTCCTCAAAACAATGTAAGTACTAGGACTGCCAAAGTTTTCAAACAAGGTCATAGTTTAATCCAGATGCCCAATTACAGTTATACATTGTGGAAGAATAGATAAACCCGCTGCACATACAGGCATGGCTACTGGATAAAACCTCCTGTAAGAGCTACAACTGATCGGTATGTTTTTTTCAAAAGAGCGAACTAACCTAGAATTTTTTTTCCAATTTTATTAATATTTTAAAAAATACATAAAAATACAACATCCAATGTCTGAATAAATATATTTAACAAGTCGCAAGATACCTTATTTTACACAAAAAATTTCAGCTTTAGAAATCTTGTTAAATAACTTCATTGTTGTTATATATTTCATTTTTCGTCTTTTTGTAACAAAATAAAAACTCTGAAATTACATAGAAAAAAGACAAAATATTTTTGTCAAGGGATAAGATAGTCCACTGAAAACCTATTCACAATTCCACTGTAAACATTAATAAACATTAAAATATTTGCATAATTGTGTGCTCAAAAATCCTATAAAAAGTGGAAGACTTATTACAACTGTAGTTTTCAGTCAACTACACTTCCTTTCACAATTTATTTTGTCCCATTTACATCTTTAAAACTGGGCACATTGCTGAACACATACTTTGGCAGTTCTGTATAGCAAGTGCTTCCACAAAGAGGAACTACTCACCAAGGGTTCGCATACAAGGTGGGTGAAAGTGCAGCAGTAACTTGATTCTGTTTGATAATATTCTGATGTCTGTTTGATGCACTTGCTTTTCTGTAAATCTCTTAGAACACCTGAATGCTTCACTGGACATAAAACTTTTCAAATCTGATAAGTGCCCTTTCTCTGTATTAACAAAAAATAAACACGATGACAAATGTGTCAGATGGTGCCTGCAAACCTTCAGTTACTAATGAGCTTAATTTCTCAATAGTAAAAATAAAATAAAATAAAAAACACAGAGGGGAGGAAACAGATATAGTCCAGCAGTGGAAGAGTGTTCAGAATGTACTTGGCAATATCAAACCAGTTGAGTGCTTTTTGTGGTTATATTTCAGGATTTATGTCCATGGCAGCAAACTGCTGGCAAAGCAGATAATGTGTATCACCTGCATTCTACAGCAAGCACATTCTGGGGAGGAGAAGATGAAGATGGACTCATTCCAGTGTCTGATGAAGCAGACGACATGGATGCTCCTGTATGAGACACTGTAAAAAGAAAAAGCAGGACATCAGCACCAGACTGTCAAATTATCCTTCATACTGAGGCTCACTTAGGTATAAGATTTAGTGTCTTTACACACACAAAACAAATTAATAGACCCCACGTAAGACCTGTCAGGTTTGAAGAGTTGTGTGTCGAAACCAACATCATATCTACAGCCTTTGGCTCAGCATAGTGTCTTTAGTTGCTCATTTTAATGAGCATTATCTTTATTTTATTTTATTTTATTTAAAATAGGCATAGAGGAGAAATAGCAGTATAGGAAGAGCTCTCAAAGTTCTGTTACAGAGAAATACAGATGGATTCTTCATGTATTGATTACTAAGTTCAAAGCCTTAATTTTTTAGAGAATGACTATTTTCTGTATTTCTATTCTGGACTCTATTCCATGGTATCTGAGCAAATAATAGTGGATTAAAAATAAAATTTACTTTTACAACAAAGCTTCATGAAACTGGTCCAGATTATTTTGCCTATTATTTTTCTCTTATATTCACATAAAATGGATAATTTACCTTATCATTTCTGTGCCTTAAATCATAAAGGTTCTAGAAAACATGCTATTTGTGAAAACCCAGATCCAGAGTACACTACACAAAGTCTGGATCTTTGTCTTTTTAAGGTGTAATTTTATATCTATATATATATGCATTTTGAAAAATCAAACCATGCTATGGATTCTAATCTTATCCTTTACGGACAAGAGACAAGTTAAACTGTTTTTTCCAAAAGTTTAAATATGGCTACAGAAAATAGAATCATAGGGCTAGAAGAGACCTCAGGAGGTCATCAAGTCCAGCCCCCTGCCCAAAGCAGAACCAATCCCAACTAAATAATCATTTAATTAAATGTCAATTAATTTTTAAGTTTTGGGGGTTAGATGTTTAAAACAGACTCCCCACAAGAGGGAAATCTGAGCATAAAGCAAACTGGAAAGTTACCTTCTCGGTCTTTCTTTTTTAATCGCTTTCTTCTTCTGTCTATTGTTGCTACTTCTGACTTCAGGGACATGTAATATTTTCTGATTTCCTGTAGTTTTTCTTGTAGAAAGGAGATTCTCTCAGTGCTATTCATATTATCTAGTTCATCTTAACAGTAAAAAAAAAAAAAAAATTAAATGGAGATTTAAAAAACGAAATCTGTAAGGCTGGTGAATACAACATCACATGAAACCAATAACGCATTTCCATTATACTATACTAAGTAAGGCTATATCCAATAGAGATATTCAGAGCCAACTTTTTTTCCCTTCAAAGTACAGTTTCTTACTAACTGCCATTTAATCCAAGGCGTTTAAATTATGTTAGAGATTAAAGAACTGTGCTCCTTGTAAACAGACAGCTGTGAAACTTATTACTTATTATACTATATTTACAAGGATCAATAATTTCCCCCCTTGACTGATCTTTAGTCCTGCACTAATGTTTGTGGGAAAAATATGATTGGTTCTAAAATACTTGTCTCAGACCCCCAGCATTTTAGGTTACAATATCTCGGAACATAAACAGAAATGTTCTGTGCTCTGCCCACATAAAACATTTGTTAGTCCTTTTGCTGTTCCTACTCAATGCTTCAATCCCAACTTGAATTTTTGCAGCCAATAATCCAGAATTAGAGAGGAATACCTGGATTGGCCACCTGAAAACTAGGATTCCAGACTATTTTAAAATTGTGTTAGTTTCACAGCCTAGGTACTCTTGAACTAATAAAGGGGGGGGGAGGAGTAAGTAAGTAAGTAAGTAAGAAAAAGAAAATCAAAATCATACAAGTTTTAAAAGGACTTTCATAGTGTAAATGTGGAGCACAGAAATAAATATATTATACCAATAAAGCTGGCTTTACAATGGTGATGAGCATTCATGCCATATGTCTTTTTTGAAGTGAATACATCAAGTTCTGGATATTGTACCAATTAGGGATGTAAGCAAGTAGTCGACTACACGATAAGCCTAGGCTACTTGAGGCAGCCAGGTGTGCGTGGGGGGAACAGGAGCCAGTGCTGGGGGTGGGGAGGGGGGGGAAGCGCTGTCTTAAAAGCAAGTTTCCCCCAGCACGGTTTCCGCAGTGCCGCCTACCCCCCCTCAACCTGGTGCTACTGCCTCTATCAGAGGCAAGTGTGAGGTGAGGGTGGGGCATGAAGCAGCCTCTGCCCATGGTGGGCCCAGGCTCATCGCGGGCAAAGGCTGTTCCATATTCTGTGGAGCAGCCCGCATCCACCACAGCCCAGGCTGGGACCCCCCGCGGATAGGGGCTGCTGGACCTGATGCAAGCTGGGACCTGAGCAAGGCTGGCTCAGTCCCAGCTTGCGCTGGGTCCGGGACTTACCCTCCCTGTGGCCCTGCAGTTTAAACATAGTAAAGAGCTGGGCAGGTTGGCAGCCCATCTCTTACTACTTTTCAACTGCAGAGCTGCAGCGGGGGCAGCTCCCGGACCCGGTACAAGCCTGGACCGAGCACCTTCCCTCAGTCAACTAATTTTATCAACTACACGATTAGTGAAATACCCGCTTCTTAACATCCCTAGTACGAATGTAATTTTGAACTGTTACTTAAATATTTAAACACATTTTAAAAAACATTCTTACTGAGTTGGAAACTCCATTTATACACTCTAGGGGAAGGATTGTGGTGATGTTTCTCTCTATGTTTATCCTTTTCTCCATCTTTGATGTGAGGGGAAATTACTCTTGCAGGTGATCGTGCAAGTTTCTGTGGTTTGGACACATTTATGTGTTTTCCTGGAGTACATTTACTTGAACTGTCCAGTACAGGAAGATCTTCACTATCACTGCTTTGTCCTATAATAAGACAAAATAATGTTGATTAGAAGACCTGTATTTTGATGTTCTTCTAAACCCGTAATCTATGTTACATAAACTGTGATTATGGTCAGAAAAGTGGAAGATAAAACTGTTTTTCCTTACTCAAAAGGCCATGCTCCCTTTATGGGTTCCAAATGGTTTCAGATTATTGACAAACCCAACTTTAATATTTTCTAATTTTGTTAGCTAAATCTTCAGGCGTGCCAGTGTATGGTAGAAGCAGGCAGGGGAATTTATTCCGACATTTATTCCAAAATACATGTGTTAGTTGCTAAAAAAAAACAACCCACGTTTGATTTAACCCACTCACCAAAATGGTTCCTCACCATCTCATAGCTATTCTGTTTCTAGTTGTGCTGCTCATGTGCATTCCAGTTAGACGTGTATGCGGATCATATGCATGGTTGTCAGAAAGTTTTTCCCCTAGCAGTACCTGCCATGTCAGCTGTGGAGACCCTTGGCTGCATTGCTTCATCAGTTCCTTCTTGTCGGCTACTCTGACAGGGGAAGGGGGGTGGGTCTGGAATGGATATAAGCAACACATCTCAAAGAACTGTAATGAGATGGTGAGTAACCATTTTTCTTCTCCAAGTGATTGATCATGTCAATTCCAGTTAGGTGACTCCCAAACCCTACCTGCGATGTGGGACTGGAGCTCCAACCTACTCTGTCTCTAGGTACAGATGGAGGTGGTAATCCATGATGAGATTCTCTGAGGCAAGACCCAGAGACCTTTCATATAGTCTGCTACCACCACAAATAGCTGGTTGGACTTTCTGAATGGTTTTGCGTATTCAGTGTAAAAGGCAAACACCTGTTGAACATCAAGAGAGGAGCTTCTGTTCATGGCTGCTTGCATGAGGACTGGGGTAAAACACAGGAAGGAAAATGCCCTGCTTGGAGTGAAATTGGGACACAACAATATTTGGAAGGAAAGACATGTGAAGCCTGACTTACTCCTTGTTGTGGCACTCAAGATATGTCTTCCGAAGACCAGGGAAAACGGCACCATCATGGTAATTAAGTCCCTCATGGTCTCAAAAAGTGTCCAGGGTGGATGGCAGCTCCACCTCCTCAATCACCTGGCTCAGGATGTCCAACAGAACAGGCATGATGGCTCTTTTTGTGGGGCCAAAGCAGACAATGCCAGCCCCTGAAACTTCCTGCCAGATGCTCCTCTGCAGGATGAACTTCAGATACAGTGTAAAGTGCAGCAGGTCTCACTCCTGGAGACTGACTACTGCCCTGCTTCTGGTGCTTCTTCCATGGTGCCAGGGTGTGGAACTGGTGCTGGGTGGACTCTACTGGTTTCGGTGGCAGTGAGCAGCAGCACTAAGGGTCTCTATGCTCAGAGTCCTTCCTTGACCCAGATTACCTAACAGAGGCCAGAGTGCTCTGTACTGACAGCTCAGTACCTGCTATCCCAAGGCAGGCTGTGGTCTCAGCACTGCCTCCATGAGGAGCTGCTTCAAATGAAAGTCCCGCTCCTTCTTTGTTCTGAGATGGAATCTTTGCAAATCTTGCACGGTTCAAACTGGCGTACATCCCCCAGACATTTGAGACAAAAATTGTGGGGGTTGCTAGTTGGCATGGGCTTGTGGCAAGATTTGCAGAGTTTGAAGCCTTGGGATGGCCTGAGACCCAATGGGGGGAGGGGGCAGAACTCCCACTCCTAAACTACTAAATAAGCCAAAAACTACAAAAACACTAACTACCACCATTAACAACTGTCTACATAGCTCAGAGGCAAGTACTTGCAAGAGCAAGCCAACACAGTTTGGACAACCGCCTCTGGCAAAAAGGATGAAGTGAGGAGGTGCTGGGTCAGCAAGGTCATATATTGAACACCATGGAGGCACCACTTCAGGGGGCTCCTCAGCTGATCTGATGGGTGTTGCTAGGGGAAAAACTTTCCCGAGACTGTGCACGCTGCATGCATACGTATAACTGGAATCGATATGAGGAAGGACTCAGAACACATTTCAGTGTAGGCAAGGACCTTTAGAGTTACTTTTCGGAGTGCAAATGCACTAATTACTTATAGATGTGTACAATGTATGATCATTTAAATAAAGAACATGCATCTTGATAGAGAAGAGCCTCAGAGTTATAAACATCACGGTTATGAACTGACCAGTTAGTGTCACACTTCATTTGGAACTGGAAGTATACAATCAGGTAGCAGCAGAGACAATAAAAGCAAATACAGAACACTATTGTGTTAAATGTCAACTACTAAAACAATAAAAGGAAACATTTACAAATAAGATTTGACAAGGTTGAGATACTGGTTCTGTACTTGTTTCATTTAAATTACGATGGTTAAAAGCAGTGTTTTTCTTTTGCTCATTAAAGTTTCAAACCTGTAGTAAATCAATATTCAATTATAAATGTTTTGAAAGAACCATAACATTTGTTCAGCTACAAATATTTCAGTGCATAGTAATTTGATTTACTTTGTGAAAACAAAAATAAACTATGTAGGACTTCTTACAATAGCGCCAAAATAAAGGTGCACATCTCTAATGTGCAAGTCTCAGGAAATTTTAAGTTACAGTTCCCACAGAAAACTTCACCTTGTCACTCTGCACATATTAGGCATAATTTAACAGTATATGAACAATATTTGTTGCAATTACTGTGGGAACGCAAAATATTTATTTAACATAAATCTCAGCAATGATATAGTTGACACTGACTCTATGGACCTATTTGATGTGACTCCTTTAACTATCTAAAGTCATCATTACTTATGGGGGGAAATATAAGATTAAATCCAGATTTTCTGCAGCTGATTTTAAAAGGTCCTATATCTGATCACAATGTCAACCATTCATAAAAGTCCTGTCTCTAAAGGTGTTGTGCTTCCCTCATTTCACTCTATGTATTTTTCTTCTATGTTAGAATTAATGTATCTTTTTAGCCTCAGAACAACAAATAGTCTAGTAGCACCTTAAAGACTAACAAAACATGTAGATGGTATCATGGGTTTTCATGGGCAAATCCCACTTCTTCAGATGACTGGAGTATTAAAAGTCCAGATATTTGTTATATTCTCTCATTAAGCTGTCTTATAAAAAAGGGCTTGACAAATCATGTAATCTACTCACCCGTGGCAAGTAGATTACAAGCTGGCACAGCTGGCGCTGCGTGATCGGCGCATGCGCAGCGCGATCTGCACATGCGCAGCTCACAGAAACACGCGGCTGGCGAGAGGGCTTGCCAAGTGGCGGCGAGTCCCAGCTTATAAAGATAGCTACTGTGACAATTATGAAGATCTGGCGAGTGGGGCTCACCGCCACTTGGCAAGCCCTGCTTATAAAGATAGTTGCTGTGACAATTATGAAGATAACAATAATGAGACTGCAAAATATTATGGTTACTGAATAACTGGTATATCCTTCTAAATATATAGTCAGTGTTCCAGTCAACAATAAAGGCAACCCCTACACATATACACTGACTGTAAATATCAAAAGCATGGATTACTATACACTGGCTATCATACAACACAAACATTTACTTCCAAGTATACCTGTTCCATTCTTTTCAGTTTTGGCTACAGCACTTGATCGCTTTGGAGTACGCTTTTGTTTCTTTGCCAGTGTCGCACTATTGCCATCACTTGGCCTTTTTTGACCTAAAAGAAAAGAAAAATTGTGCCCTCTTAAATATTTCTGCCTTCAGTATACCCTTTTAAAAACAAATTGATTCAACTGAAAACTAGTATTAGATGAAGGCAAATGCTACTTTTGAGTCAACAGTTCTTAGAAAAGCAATACAAAATATACAATGGTTTCAGGAACTGTTAAAATAGGGAATGGCTTTTCACCTGGCAAACAACTTACCCTTCTCTCCAATATCTCGGTCTTGTACTACTATACTACAATTGCTTGAAGTGGTACTGGCTTCAAATCCGTTAGCAGACTCGCTTTCACAGAGACCTTCTTGAGATTCTTCTGCCACACTGTCCACTTCAATAGTTACATCACTTTCACTTTTTATACTGCGAGATTCATCCTGACTAAGAGCAAGGGGTGAGGCCACAGAAAAATTAGGCTGGACTGTAGGGGGTAAGGCAGACAGATTTGAGGTCAAAGTGTTAGGATCTGGCTTTTCTGTTACTGCATCCTCACTACTGCTCTTTTCCTTTTCATCAAAGTCATCCAAGTCCACTTCATGGCAAAGGAGAGTTTCAGGTCCAATCTGAGGCATAGTGTCATCGTCATCTTTTAATGGCATATGCTCATTTTCTTCAGATGTGCATGCAAAGTTTTCATTCGTCAGCTCTTGAACATGTTGATTTGACTCTGCTACTAAAGATGGCATTTCTTCATTTTCAGTTCTATGCGACTCTTCATTAAAATCTTTACATTCCTCCATCCCAATACATTCACCGGTCCTCTCATCAGATACAATATTTGGCACTTCCATCTCACACTCTCGTCGTACCTTTTTCTCAGGCGATGTCTGTTCCAATGTTTTCCTTTTTAAAAACTTCTTATCTTTTGTACAAGGGTCTGTTTCGTTTTCAGTAGTAGTGGAAAACTCTTTACTATCTAAGGAAGAAATTTCTGATCTTTCAGATTCTATGAGGGTTTCATTTGTTCCCTCTTCGTGGCTTTCTGGTAAAATTTTTACATTCTCTAAAGAGGGGTCTCTTGTCTTGCTCCTTCTTCCCTTCCCTTTAGGTGATTTTTCAGTCTCTTTTTTAATTTCTTCTACTTGTTCAGCTTTGTTTCCAAAAATCTGAACTATTTGTTCACTTTCTTCAACTTCCAGTTTCAAAGTTTCTAGAGGCTGCCCTTGAGTCCTGTCATTTTCTTTCATCAATGCATGTGGGATCTTTGGGTTTTCTTCCACAGATTTCTCATCAATTCCTTTTTCATTCTTTTCCATATCCGAAATGTCTGCAGAAAATTCTTCATTCATATTCTTTTCAGAAGTCTCATCAGTTTCACTGTCAGATGAATCAGAATCTGCCAAAAATAAGATTAAAAAAGCAACATATTAGGTCATTGTTAAAACACGATTTTCAGTATTAGCTATGCAGATACTATTCAGTAACCCACACAGGATAGTATCAAAAATCACTTTATGAAAACATAATCAAGAGTTCTAGTTTTTCAACAGATGCAAGTGTGTTGCATTATTTCAACCTATTTTTGCTATAGTTTTTTGGAGCATTACTTTGGCTCTCTATGGAAGTATGATAGCACTGGTATAAAAACTCTCCTTTTTTATGTTCATTGGGGGGGGGGAGGTGGAGGTAGAAATAAAAAAACCACATATAAATTGCAGTTCAGGACAGGATAATGTTACAGGTTTCCTTATAGTTTGAATCTTTATCTAAAGATCTACTTCCCAATCACCTCTCCTCAAAAATGAATGGATGTCTCAGAAGACTGGTAATGAGGCTACAGCCATTTCACTGCTAACTCATTGATTTCAATCAGAAGCCGTATATTTAGCAAGTAATACTATGGTGCCTAAGAGTTATGCAGAGACTTATATTAAATGAGTTAGTGGCTTCAATTCAGTTCCATCTAGACAAGGGTTTGTATCAAACAACTCTGCTACTATTTGTACTTAATTACCCTCCCTGCTTGATGCATGAACTGTGAGGCTAAAGACTGAGTGACCATAGTTTTGGGAACAATTTTATTTCTGGTTTAGGAGTGAAGCACACTGATGTAAGTACAAGGGGTAACTGCCCTTTCCCTAACTAAAAAGAGATGTATTTTTTCTTCTCCACTAGTGTCTATTTAGTTGTTTTAACAGCATTAACATTCACAGGAGAGAGGGAAAAAAATGGGTTTTTTAAATCACTTTTTCAAAATGTATGAAAAATCAAAACGTAGGACAGCTATCACTCACCATTTGAGCCTCTATCAGAATCAAACATTCCTGAGCTACGTCTCGTCTGCCTGCGAGGTGTTCCTAAAAAAAATTCAAAATCAAAACTCTTTAGTTTATAGAATATAAAATGTATTGTATAGATAGTAAACTGCACAGAACTTCAAAACTGTTGACTTACAGCACTGCCATATGTTTATTAAAGGTTTCATACTAATGTGTGGGGTTACATTATTAGTATTTACTTTTCTCCTGTGGACGAGCAGCTAAGTGTCACATAGACTGTATCAGGTATACCTTCTGTTCCATTTGGTAATGATGAGCAATCTGACAAATTGCTCTGTATACTTCTGGCTCTTGCTTTACCTTCACTATTAGGTGTTTTGGATAAACTGCAAGACATATTTGACAGAAGAGTAGATTTCAGAGGTGGGCGGCCACGTTTTGATTTCTGTTTCTCCTCATCCTTCTTTTCATCTTTTTCCTGGTCTTCTTTATTCTGAAGACACAAAATTGGGCATTCTTAGAATATACATCATGGCATATATTCAAAACATTACCCTTTTTGGCCTACACATTAAGGACAGGGGCTAGAGAGTAAGCAGCTAAATAATCTCTTATTCTTAGGAGCAGAGAGAACTATTAAGCTCTTACAAACTATTAGAAAAAGTTTACTGATCTATAAATATTACTTTTGCTTTTTTCTTTTGTTTTCTCTTTGGTCCTCCTTTGTCCAAAGGCCAGATAATCCGATCAGCTTTCACCCATTCATCATATCTAAAGGCAAAACACAGCACACTGTTACTACTGCAGTTAAAAACTGATTTATTGTAATTTGATGATTCACATCTGAATTGCAAGGACCTTAATAAAAATTCAAAATAGAGCCCCATCCCCCTTTTAGAAACATATCTGATGTTTTAAAACTTATTTAGTGCTATGTTTTATTGCAATTACCTTCCTAAGATCCTGAGGATATCTGAAGGTGCAGACCTTCCTGGTCTCCTGCCAGCAAAGCACTGGAAGTCAGGTGACCTGGGGTCAATTACAGACTCTTCCATCAACTTCATGTGACCTTAGGAAATTCAGTTTTAATCTCTCCATGCCTTAGTTTCCCCACCTATAACACTTATAAAATTATCATACTTACCTGTGGTTTTTAAAGAGCTTTCAAATCATCTGGCAAAAGACGCTAAGCATTAAGGGAGACTGTCAAAGTAATAAATGGAGTTAGGTGCTTATCTGCCATTTGTGCCTTTGAAACTCTCCTGCATCATTATTCTTTATTATTAATACAGAAGGGGGCCATGAATAGCAGCTTGAGGAAAAGGTTTCTTTCAAACCTACGTGATATCATCATGTCATTCAAGGAAGTCTGCTTAGATTTCTCAGGAATTCAAGAAGGTGGCAAATCTCAAACTTTAATGTACTGGGAAAACATTTTAAAATATCTCTAACTCTTGTGGCATTAGCACTGTCACACTATTTATAAGAATAAAGAAATGCCATTATACAGCACTCATTTGGAATACAATGCAAGTGTTCAGTGGATTTTTCTGCACTTCCATACAATTTAGCTTCTACCCCACTGCCGTGCCCACCATGAATTTCTTAAAGTAGGTATCTTCTTTAATTATAGCCAGTGTTCAACGGTCAGCACATATTTTGTTGCTGAAATTTCAGCATTTATTAAACTAATAACGCATAAGCTGCCCTACTATTAAATGTCATATAGTTTCTTATAGTAAGGGTGTCATCAGGAAGCACGACACCATGGACTTAAAAGGTAGCAGTAATTTAAAAGTAATTATCGTAGCTCACTATTTTCACCAAAGGTCTGATCCTGCTGACAATTATTACCAGGCACAGGATTTATTCTTGCAAAAACTCGAGTTTAAGTTTAAAGTATTACTCTGAATTTTATGAAGAGATGGACCAAAATCCTGCAAACACTTACACACATGCATAATTCCATTGGCTTCAATGGGATTACTCTTCCGTGAGTGAAAGTACTCACATGAAAAAGTTTTAGTAGGATCTGATCCTATTGTGCAGTGCTAATTCACTATAAGGCCAAGAGACTCTTCCCCTTTTCATGACATTTTTCTCTTATAGAAAAAATTCTCTTGAATACAGTAAATTTTAGTCAATTAAAATGAAGTTAAATGCTAATTTCTCCTTACCTTACATTCCAGCCATAGTAATGTACTAAATATAAAACCTCTCCATCATCAATTTCTGTGCTTTTAATACTGGCTTCATAAATTTTCTGAGTTTTTCCACGTCCATATTTTACTTTCACTTTGGTTCCCGTTAGACAGGGCTCTGTGTCCTCCTCATCCTCCTCCCCTTCTGATTCTCCTTTGTTATCAATTTCCTCCCTATAGAAAGATATATTTATAATACCCATTGATTATTTAATTACAGTCAGCCCAAAAATTTCCAGAGCATAGTTAAATATTCCCTGTCTAGTCAGAGGAAAGAGAAGAGAAAAAATTGCAGTAGGGAGTCCCTTGCTTCATGAAGCACAATGTATAAAAAATGAGCTTGGACATAGTTTCTTCAAATCAGACACCTCCACTCTCTTTTGCATAAGTTAGAAGTGTTAAACATCGGATTTATTCATAAATCATATCTTAACATGATTTATATGTGCATAACTATCTCAAAGCTTTAATGTTTATCGTTTTAAACATATTTAGTTGACAGTGAGGCTCAAGTGAAACAGAAGGTACTGAGGAAGGAGACACTAACTTCAATTCTTAATATTTGCTTCTGATGTGCTATTTTAAAGTTTTCAACCTTCTGCAATTTGCTCTGAAGTTTTATGAAATGTTTGCATTGTCAGGGTAATTGTCCTTTTGTGGTTCTCTAATCAGTTCCACAGAAGCAAATAGCAGTAAACACAAGGTTACAATAAATGCCTTTAAAAGTGACAACAATTCTTAACAGCCTCTATTTAAAATTATTTCTACCATTTAACTTAAGAAAAGATCCATAATAAAGCCAAGGTGTTTTTGCAAAAGCCAATGCCTCATCTGATCTACATATTTACATTACTTTTTAAACAAATTATTTGAATAGAAGCAAACCTAGAACTACAAGTAGACAAAATGGAAAAAGCACAGCTTGCTTTTAATAAAAGCTAAGTGATATGTTACAATCAGAGATGAACTATCTTGCAGCAATAACAGTTTACATTAAAAGGAAAGATGATGGCCAAGACATCTAGTGCTTAAAAGAAAGATGACTAAGAGACAATAGATATATGTAATATACCCATGCAACCTATGATACACTCTAATTTTACTTATGTGTGAATGAATTTGTTTGTTGTGTCATTTTACATGATCTTTCTTTTGACTGAAGGTGTAGCCTTCTTTGAAATCAATGTTTTTTCCAGAAGCGCATCAAAATGAGAACATAAGAATGGCCATACTGGGTCAAACCTAAAGGTCCATCTAGCCCAGTATCCTGCCTTCCAGCAGCAGCCAATGCCAGGTGCTTCAGAGGGAAGGAACCAAATAGGCAATCAACAAGTGATCCACTCCCAGTTTCTGGCAAACAGACGCTACTGACACCATCACTGCCCATCCTGGTTAATAGCCACTAATGGACCTATTTTCCATTAACTTATCTAATTCTTTTTTGAACACTGTTATATAGTCTTGGCCTTCACAACTCTTTTACCAGAGTTCCACAGAGAAATTCTTCCTTTTTTTTTTAAACCTGTTGACTATGTATTTCATTGGGTGACTCCTAGTACTTGTGTTATGAGAAGGAGTAAATAACACTTCCCTATTTATTGTCTACTTCAATCATGATTTATAGACCTCTATCATATCCACCCTTAGTTATCTCTTTTCCAAGCTGAAAAGTCCAAGTCTTATTAATCTCTCCTCATATGGAAAAGGTAAGGAGATGATGCAGTCAACACATTATCCAGTTGCTTGAAACAAACAAATAAAAAAAAAAAACCATTAGGCTTAATTCACACTCAACTTGTGCCTCAAGTGCATCCCTCTTCCCCAGGCACACTGTCTAGAAAAAGAGGAGAAATGATGTCATAAGGTGCAGAACCAATCCCTGAACGGAGGTAGCCAAGACTAATAGGGTGCGAAGAGAGCGGCCTAGCCTGTTTTCACAACCCCTGGACTGCAGCAATTTAAACCAATTCTGCCTCAGTTTGTACTATGGATGTTATTTTCTGTCTATTAGATGGCTCTTTAGTCCAACATTCCCACATTCTTCCATATTGGTCTGTAACCTACCACTCTCTCATCCTTCATGTTGCGTTCTGCTCTCTTCTTCTCTTCAATCTTCTTCTGCCTCTTCAATCCATTTCCCCCTTCATTTTTAATCCTCAAGTCCCTTTCTTTCTCCTTAGCTCTTATTAATTCAACCCCTCCTGCCCTCAAATACATTTAAATAAAAAAAGAAACAAACAAGCTGGACATTTTCCAATAATTATTAGCCACCTTGCTTTTATGTTACATCCACTTCTTACTCCAAAAGATACAATATAAATAGACAAGACTACATGTTTGTACAACACCTGCCAACCGATTTTATCTGGCACTTATGTGCACTATGGTGCACAGATACCAATATAATCCAAGCTCACAGTGTTAGGAAGTCCATCCAGAGAAGTGGTAAAGCAGTGACTATTGCATGCAACTGCAGGCTAAAGCAACCCAGAAGTGGGTCTGCAATGAGAAAGGAGCTACCGCATCCATGGAAGCGCTGATTCAGTACATCTCCTAGGAAGCATCCTCAAGAGAAACACCTGTATGGCCCCCAAATACTGCCTTGCCTGACCAGATCCTTGGAGGAAGAGGAGAGTAGAAATACAGCCATCTCTCAGGGGAAAAACCTCTGAGGTACACAGCAGGCCTCTGCTGTTTTTGATATGCACAAGGAGGGGCAAATTATGATTGGGGTGAAAATCATGGGCTTGAGTCACACGTCTGATCTCTGGAAATGGAGTCCTAAATCTTCCTTAAACTAAGCAATATGGAGTGTCGCTGTGCCACCACACAGGCATTCTCTTAAAGAGTAGATGTAAGTTAATATGTACCTCTCTTGCCTCCTCTCTTCCTCTTCATCAGATTCTTTATCAGATTCCTCTTGTTTTTTCATTTTCTTCTCTTTTTGCTTTGATGTGTTCTTTCTCCCCAGTGGAGTCTCATTTTCTTTCTTCTCTGCATTCTCAAGTGTTTCCTCTACATCTTTATTTTCTTTGTTGCTATCTTTTAATTTGTCCTGCATTTTATCTTCTTCAGTTTCTTTTTTAATAGTTATTGCATCACGAGCAAGTCTCCTCCGCCCCTAACATAGAAACACATTCTGTTAAACAAGTTTTTTCATGTTCAGAGAAGGGGAGGTTATGCAGTGCATACTGTGTGTATACTTATTTTTCCTGTACAGAAGAAAGACTGGAGGCCAATGTGAAGTTTTGCATTTGAGAGTTATCATGTATTTATAAATTTTAAACTGTTTGCTATCAACAGAATCACCACTCTGTTCACAATTATAGGATTCCAGTATCAGAGTTCTAGCTTTTAATTACCTTTTGGGTGCATTTTAAAGGAAATTGTTTAACTGTACAAGGCCCGTAGTACAGATGTTAAGAGTCAGTTGATGGAATTTCCATCGACTATTCGATTAGTCGATAAGAGGAGGGCACTCCTGCTGCTTTTAAGCTGGATCTTCCCAGCACCAGCTCCTGCTTCCCCAACCATGCCGCCTCTGATACAGAGGCGGGTGTGGGGGACGGAGGGGAAGCAACTAGTTGAGTACTCACTGGACTACCCAATAAGCCTATGCTGATCAGGTAGTCGACAATTTGATTAGTCACTTCCATCCCTAGCCTGTAGTCCCTAAACACATGAAATAACACCCTCCCTAGCAGACTATGGCAGTTGTGGTAAGCACAACTATTTAACAGTCTTATGATTTAAAAGGGACAGATGCTCTGAAGTGAAAACATATATTGTTAAAATGAGTCCAGTAGCATCCAAAAGCTGCAAGACCCCTAGATTTTCCATATGTTGAAAGAAAAGCACTAGGAATAGCTGTTGAGTTGGGGAAGGGGCCCTTCCCTCTTATGGGCTTTTAATATTAAGCAGCCCAAGTACTCTAATTTTTGTACTCAGAATATACACCCTTCTGTTGCGTTTGCAATATTAGAATTTATTTATTATTCAAACTTAACAAACAAACCCATTAGGTACTCTAATAATTAAGCTTGTAGAAACATTATGTAATACTTGGTGGTTGCCACTGTCACATACAGGTGACATTATCTACATATTAATTATTTAATGCAGCTGGTTGGCTGCGTTAACAGGTTAACTTTGCCATCTAACAAGTCAAAGCAACTTAAAAAGCAACCCTTTTCCCTCTCCTCTTCTCTCCTGACCCAAAACCTTCCCCCAAAACTCCTGTCAAATACAAACAGTTTTTGCAGCATATTGTAAGGTGATCAAGCTAAAGAAACACAGACCGATCACGTATTATTATCTTTCTTAATGTTCAGTGCTTGTTTGAGCTAAACACTGTAGCTCTGTTTTTACACAAGAGGCTTTTGCGCAAAAAGGAGTTGTCTACATGGTTCCTTTCTGTGCAAAAACCCCTTCTTGCACAAAAACAGAGCTTAAATAATTATGCAAATGAGGCACAGCAATATTCCACACTTTGCCTCATTTGCATATTTTCTTGCACAAGAGGGGGCAGCGTAGACATAGCCTGTATGTTTACATTATTGTAGAAACCACCTCTTTTAAAACTATTAATTCATTACATTTACAGCATTTTAAGTAGTATTTCCAGTAAGCATACTCTCGCATTTTTTTTAAATTTAATAAGACCCTTTTCTATCATTTAATAGCTGGACAGGATCTAATCACCAAAATCTTCAGTAGGAAACAAAGCTGAAGTCCCCTGTCTGCACCTGTTCCAGATTAATTCAATCTTCCTTAAAGATGGGAGACCAGGACTGCACATAATATTCCAGATGTGGTCTCATCTGTGCCTTGTATCATGGTACTAACATTTCCCATCTCTACTGGAAATACCTCGCCTGATGCACCCTCTAACTGCATTAGATTTTTTCACAGCCACATCACATTGGTGGCCTATTCACTGGCCTCTGATCAGCCAGTACTTGGGATGTAAAAAGCTAGTTAAAAAGGTACCAGTGCAACTGCTGAAAATCTTAGCGGTTACTGGCTCTGCAGTATGAAGTTTATTTAAACTTTATACGGAAGAGCCCAAAGCAAAGCCTTCCTGTGACCGGGGCCACCAGCCTCTGCTGGCCCGCTCTCAGGGAGGCAGCTTCTCCAGGGCAGTGAAGCCACCTATCTGGGAGAGGGGCCAGCAGGGTGTGGTTTGCTACTGCAGCGAAGCTGCTTCCTCAGGAGTACAGTCAGCAAGAGCTGCCAGCCCTGCTCCCAGGGATCCAACGTGTAACCTCTGGCAGGGGGAAAGGAGGGGCAGCAGGGGATGCTCTGGTGTTGGTTACAGTGATGCTTACTGGTTAACCGGTTAATCTTGAATATCCCTAGCCAATACACCCAGATCTTTCTTCCCCCGTCATTTCCAACTGATACGTAGTCTGTTTGTAGCAAATATTCTTGATGTTAGTCTCTAAGTACATGATCTTGCATTTGCACTATTAAATTTCAGCCCATTTCTATTACTCGTCAGTTTTGACAATCATCCAGACCATTCTGCAGGATATACTGGTCCTAATTTGTATTGGCAACACCTCCCAACTTTGCAACATCTGCTAATTTTATTAGCACACTCCCACTTTTTTGTGCTATGGTCAGTAATGTAAATGTTAAGTAAGATTACTCCCAAAACCAATCCCCGAGGAACTCCATTAGTTACTTCCCTCCAGCCTGACAGTTCACCTTTCAGTATGACCCACTGCTGTCTTCCCTTTAGCCAGTTCCTTATCCACCCTTCAATTCTCCTATTAATTCCCATTTTCTCAAATTTAAAATATAATTTCCCACGTGGAACTGACTCAAATGCCTTACTGAAACCTACATAGATTAATTCTATTGAATTCCTACTGCATTTTCTCTGTCTAAAGATGATCTCAGGTAGCTTGGTCAATCTCCTGAAGGGTTTTGAACATCAGGAAAGAACTTGAAATGGACTTATATACCCTGACTTCCGATTGAATAAACAATAGAGCATTGTCTGGATATGTGAATGGAAGCCTGTGTTTAGTTTGTGCGCTGCTGTGTTTCATACAAATATGGCAATTCCTACGTACAGCCAATTCTCTAGGGAAATCTCGTATCAGTGAACTATTAAGGATGCCCAGTTCTATTTAGCACATAAATAAAAAAACTGAAGTCAGACTACTTACTCTTGGGGATCTTAATTCTATTTCTTCTTTTTCACTTTCACTGCTGGAATCATTTTCTTCCACTTCATTTTTTACTTCTGCTGGAAGCATTTCTTGTTCCTCTTTTACACTTTCCTCCATTGGTTCTTCTTGTTTCTGAATGTTTTCTACCACTTTTGGTTCATTATGATGGATGGTCCTAAACTGAATGTTTGCAGAGCGGCAGTATTCTTCAAAACCATAAAGATACCTATATATATATACATATATAAAAAACAAAGTTTGATACATTTTTATCATTGCATATCTGATTTTCATGTCACAGAACTGCAAACAAATTATTTTCTTGCTCACATAAGTTCAAGAGAAGAGTATTAACTCTTGGTGGCAAAAAACCAAACAACCCAACTCTATGTTAAGAGAGTTTGAGGTAGCATGATTAAGCAATCATATCTGAGTGACTCAGTTAACATTACGCATACACAGCTTTAACTCTGTCCCATTTGCTTAAGCATTCACAACAGTCAACAGTACATCATACTATACAAGAGTTTTTCAAGCACACAATTGCTTCTACAATCTTAGAATTACCTTGCATTTTTTTCCCCATTCATGTATTGTTACAGTGTTTTAAAGCTCAACTCCCTGAATATTTTCATTTACTTTAATGAATAGGATCAGACACATAGTCAGCTGCTATTCAACAAGCACAACTTTCATTAGATTCAATGAGGTAATTAACCACTAAGCTAATTTATACTAAGCTGCAAATTTAGATGGCCTATATATGCCAGCAAGTTTTCACTTTTTATTTAATCTGAAAGCTTAGTTTGCGGTATACTTTTCAAATTAATTACATTAATGAGCTGTCTGGCATACACAACTGTAAAAGAGACAATACACATTCATCTAAGGGTTAGAAAACATATTATATTTTATTCGAGAAACAAAATACAGCCATGTCATTAAAGACTTTTGTACTGCAACTACCCTACATTGAGAGTTAGATTTGTATGTATAACCTTTACTGTAGCAATTCCTGATACTGGTGCCAACCATGGAATCATGGTGCTCAACTGTTCTGATATTTTCTTTGTTTGTATAATAAAACAAAGTTCTTCAGGGTGGGGAAATATTTGCCCATGTATCTAATGGACAAAACATTCCCCTGATCTCCCACATGCAGAGCTCCAGCTCTCATTTTTACTCAAAACATTGAACTATTTCTACTCAACCTTTCAGGAAAAAAGTTAATTTTACTTAGAAAAATCTCAGGTGCATTATAAATGAAAATACAATTGAACAACAGGAGTTAAGCAAATGCTTATGTAACCTTAACTCAAATGGTCACCACCACTCCTTCTACTCTTATATCTAATAAAGTAAATGTGTCCAAGAGCCATCATTCACAGATCTATAAAGATAATCGAAATTTCTGCACTGATATTTCAAAGATTAATTCTGAAACACACTTATTTCAAGCTACTTTGTTCAGAAAGTTTAAAAGTTTGGAGTAAATAAATGCAAAGCTCTGCCCATAACATGCAACTATCACAGATCTCAATGGCAGTAGAACATGTGCATATCTGAAGACAGAGTCTGTCCATGTTAATAAGCACACATTTCAAATTGGCTGCATAGCAGTTTCATTGCTATATTCCAAAACAGTAACACCAAATGCCAGCAATGGCAACTGGCTGCTCTAAAACAAGCAGTGTTCTAAGAAACTTCAACTGCAAGATCCTACACGGTGTCCAGAAGTCTTCTACTCCTCTTTATAGTTAATGGAAGTGGTGCAGAACTCTAGCCCTTGTTTGCAAGAACTTCTTAAAATCTGGTAAAGTTAATATAGAAACATAACAAGAGAATGTTGAACACTTGTTTACTAATATCAACTACTGAGTCAACAAAATTGTTTGAAAGTGTTCATTCCACTTTTAAGATTTTCCATATTTATAAAAATCATTCAATCAATCATCTAGTAAGATATAACTTACTTTCTATAAGCAGTTTTTACATTGTAGGAAGCAGCTGAGTTCAAAATAGGAATGCCAAGGTCCATATAAATTTGCTTCCATACAGCACCACTGTCAATCTGGAAAAGGAAATTTTATTTATTAACCAGGAAAATTAAGAATGAAATTTATTGTAACACTAGAACTGTAACCAAGGCCTTCAAGAACACTAATAGAGGTTTTGCTTAAGAAAAATTTAACACTTACATTGTCACACCCACCCTGTTGATACACCAGTCTAAAAAGTTTGAAGAGGTTAAGATCCTTGTAGCCCAGAACAGGTGGTTTATTGATAGGAGTACCTAATTATATAAGAATACAAATATATAAAGTTACCATGCAGATGAGCAAACTTGTCTTTCATCCCACAGCACACACTTGATTGTTGGTACATTTTGCAATTTAGCGTCTGTAATATTTTACCTATAAAAATGGTATCTCAAGCAATGTTCCTTCTAGTTTTTTACAAGTTCATGTGCAGAATAATTTTATGTGCACCAAGGCCTGTGCAGATGTGCACCACTAATAGAAACACATGCTGCTGGCTTTACATGGCTGTGGTGAATCAGCTGGGTGGTATTTGAATCTCTCCTGTGTGGCTCCCCAAGCACAAAGCTTATCCAAAGAAGAAGGAAAATGTGGAAGGGCAGCCAATCAGAATCGTTAAGGAAAAGCCTGGGAAATGATGGGGTGTGGGACAGATAAAGAGAAGAATATAAAATGTTTGGATGCGGGGGACATAGAATAAAAATTAAAGGGTCAGAATATGAAATGGTGAAAAAGGTGGCAAGAGAAAGAATTTTCGGGGAGGGGGGCAGAGTGAATATGAAACTAAACTAAGTGAATTGAAAACTGGTTAGGAAATGAGATTCTATTAATTATAAAAGGGGAGGTCAGAAATTAACTGAGATAAGGACTGAAATTAATGAATTTGCTACTCCTCTCTGCTAAGGTAGCAAAGGAGGTCCCTTTTTTCCAGGAAATGCAAAATTATGGAAGTTAGACTATATTGGACATTGCTACAGAAGTATTGGCAGCATGCAGTGGTACTCACACAGAAAAAAGACAAAGAAGAGCAACAGTACGGGAGAGGTTGTGTTGCAAGGAAGAGAAAGAAAAATATATGGGAACACAAGACCCAGCTGTGAAAGAAGCCTGTACTGCTTGATCAAAATACTATCTTTAAACCAGGGGTTCTCAAACTTTGTGATACTACGACCTCCTAAAATGCTAACGTGTGTGACCCCCCTCACCCTGACTGCCCTGGGTCACTTCCTCCCCCCTTTTCACCAGATTCCTTGCCCTCCTGGGGTTCCTTCAAGGCGTTTGCGGTCCTCGATGCCCTTCCCCCCGTCTTTCTCCTCTGTGCCTCTTTTCCACTCCACGTCCCTTTGATTCCTTCTATCTCTCCTCTTCTCCGTCCTCCACTCCTCTCCCGTGTCTCCTCCTCTCTCCTCTGACCCCCACGTGCCCTTATTTACCTCTGGGTCCTCTGCCCCGTCCCAATCCCCCAGCCTGCTGCCTGAGGGACCCCACCCTCTCCCAGCTGGAGAAGCATTCGGTCGCCCGGCAACCATGCCCCAGCCAGCCCCTCGCGCATCCGCTCCTGTGTTGGCCTCACTCTCCCGCCACCTTGCCTCCTGCTGCAGCTGAGCCATGCTCCTGGAGTCCCGCGGCCCCGGCCATGCTGCGCAGCTTGCCAGCGGCTGCCTTCCGCTTCCCTGCTGCTCTTCATGGCCCGGGAGAGAGGGGTCGCAAGTGAAAAACTGAATCCAACTGTGACCCCCCCCCCGGGGGGTTGCAACCCACAGTTTGAGAAACACTGCTTTAAACAATATCAGTTCATCTGAGGACTAGGCCTTTACTTATACTGCTCTATTACCTTCTTTATTTACCCATTTCCCACAGCCACCTATAAAGTCTCTCCCTAGTTCCTGGACTAACACTGCTTCAGAGAGACATTACTCTATGAGGGAACAAGAGAAAGGACAGTAACAGAAGTAGAAGAACCAGGCTATAAAGAAGATAGTATTATTTACACGATACACTTCCCTCTTAAGCCGTTCCTTATTTCTCTCCCCCGCCACCCACACCTTTGTCCCAAGGGAGTGCTAATTCCACATGGTATGGCCTTCAAAGTGATCCTGGATGAACTCCAGAAAAGCTTGCCATAACAAATATATGACCCAGTGATATATTTGTGATAGGCAAGTGGCAAGACTGAACAGGCTAGGAACTACTCCATTAAGCCTTTGCGGACTGGAAAATACTTAGTTACAGAGAAGACCAGCCTACTTAAAATGGTGATCTGCCGTATTTCTTTTAATTATACTAAAAGATTGTGCACTACTTTGCTTGACTAAGACAGTTGTCTGTCTTCTTATTATATGTTTTTCTATCAACATGTATTATTATAGAAGACTGCAATGTTTTATGAATTTTTACCCACTCTTCCCTTGTTCACCAATGGGCAGAGAAGGTATTCAAGTACATAACTTATATTCAAGTATTTTTTTAATATAATAGTGCTTAAAAATTTTAGAAGCTATTTTTTACCCTGTGGAAAACACTTGCTAGTTTTTTACAGAAGTATCTAAAGATAGTCTAGTCTTGTTTGTACAATGTTTTCCATCTTTGCTATTGATCAAAACAAGTTTGCAAATACAGGAGTGAAACTTTCTATATTCAAAACGATTGCCATTTCTGTGCATAACATATGTGGGTGCACTATGTTATTTGCTGAAAGGATAACCCATTTTCTGACATCAATGCCTTTAGAAAAGCTCCAGCCACCCAGGCATTGGAAAATTAGCACTGCATAAGCCACTGAAATGTGAAATTGTAAGGAGGATGACACTGAAAAGAAAGCAAAGTACCGTACTATGTATAAAGGTAACTGCAGCACTTCCAATATATTCTTTGCTATATAGCACTTAGGTGTCATGCATATAACGGACAGGACCAATTCTGTTGAGAAAAGCACCACATTTGTGCCTTCTTTATTCTAAAACCAAGCTGGATCACTTAGGTTGTTTTCCAGGTGAATGTTACTGTTATTCCCCTACTTGGGAGGGAAGTGTCTGTGTGTGATTAGAATAGCCTTGCAACAGGATTTAAAAATGCACATTTCTGGATTTCTGGTGCTTAAAGAGTTCCACAACCCAAGGCCAAGTCTTCAAGAGGTTTTATCCTACAGATCAGCAACACAAGTGCCAGCTATAGCTGCCATACAGGGACACCAGCTAAGAGTATATTTTAGAGATATTTTGGTTCTTGCCCATGAAGAACAATCTTAAAAAAAAAAAAACCCACCCACCCAAAAACCCAAACCATCAAAATCACTTAGGCACGGTTCACTTTTACTCTATGTGTTATGCCTATACACCTTTGATATAACCAGACTTGCCCCATTTTGAAAAAGGTTAAAAAAGTTCTCTCACGTGCCAGGTTAGTTATTGTAATATACATGTTTCCCTGATGCAAGAGCTGTACCATAATACAACACATTACATTTTAAAAGAATTATTTTTAAATGAGTTGGTACACAAGAGATAATAAGTAAGCAATTTATTACCTCTGTCTTCCATAAACTTGTAAAGCTGTTGGAGGAAGTTGTCCCTCTCTTCAGGATCAAGCTCTTCCTCCGGCTGTCAAAACAAGGGGAGACATATTGAAAATATTAAATGCACATGGCCACATTTATTTATAGCCCGATCCAAAACAATTCATTTTACACAGAGAAGCCAGGCTATTATTGTTCATCCATATAAAGATGTATTCTATCAAGAAAAAGGGCTAGCCACACAAATGGGCAAAGTTAAATAAGATGAGAGAGACTAACTTAGTTGGTTTGAACCCTATGCACTGAAATCTCAACTGCGGAAAAAGAAAATGCAAAGCTTAGGGCAGCCCGATCCAAAACAATTCATTTTACACAGAGAAGCCAGGCTATTATTGTTCATCCATATAAAGATGTATTCTATCAAGAAAAAGGGCTAGCCACACAAATGGGCAAAGTTAAATAAGATGAGAGAGACTAACTTAGTTGGTTTGAACCCTATGCACTGAAATCTCAACTGCGGAAAAAGAAAATGCAAAGCTTAGGGCTCCCTCAATCCATTAGGGCAGTGGTCCCCAACCTGTGGTGGTGGCCGGGCGCCAGGGGGCGTGGCCGTTCGCCC